CATCTCCCAGTCTCCCACACTCTCCCCATGTCCCGCAATCCCCTCAGTGTCTCCCCCCAAATATCCGTCCATCTCCCAGTCTCCCACACTCTCCCCATGTCCTGCAATCCCCTCAGCGTCTCCCCCCAAATATCTATCCATCTCCCAGTCTCCCACACTCTCCCCATGTCCCGCAATCCCCTCAGTGTCTCCCCCCAAATATCTATCCATCTCCCAGCCTCCCACACTCTCCCCCCGTGTCCCGCGATCCTTTCAGTGTCTCCCTCCGAAAATCGATCCATCTCCCACTCTCCCGCACTCTCGCCATGTCCCTCAGTGTCTCCCCCCAGAAGATCTATCCATGTCCCCGTCTTCCACACTCTCACCTTGCGTCCATCGATCCTCACACTGCCTCCCCTCAAAAACCTGTCCATCTCCCAGTTCCCTGCATTCAGCCTCTGCCCCTGAACGCTCTCAGTGTTTCCCCCAGAAACCCATACCCCCGCGTGTGGAATCGACTCAGCGGCTGAGTTCTATGTGGGACATTTTCAAGGTTCCCCTCCCTCTGAGTCAAGAAATCCCTCCTCATCTCAGTCCAAAATAGCCGAAGCCCTTATCCTGAGAGTGGGATCCCAACCCCTACTGTACTCTAGACTCTCCAGTCTCATGGGCTGGAGCAGTGAAGGGAATAGCTTCGATATCGAGCCTCTAAAACCCCTTGCAGATTTGGAAACATTTCAATGAGATAGCCGTTGGCTCCCAATATACCTACCAATGCTTTGCTCTGCAAGATGGGATGGCTCACGTTACAAATGAATTTCCCAGTCAGGTTATTGATTGAGCTGCTATTGGAGGCACATTCCACACGCGTTGACTGCAATGAGAGGTGTTTTTTATTCAGAATTACGAACTCCCCAATTAATTGCCCTCGACCCGTCCACCTTCAGTTGCTTCGTCCATGAACTTCCCTCCAAAGTAAGGGTCAGAAGTGGGGCTGATCGCACAACGGTCGGCAACGTTCGCACCTCCTCAAACACTGGGGCAGCCTGTGTCCAAATGCAACAAGATCTGGACAATATCCAGGCTTGGGCTGGCACATGACAAGTAACATTCGTGCCACGCAAATGCCAGGCAATAAGAGAGAATCTAACCATCGCCCCCTTGACGTTCAACAAATCCGTTCCCACTATCAACATCCAGGGGTGAACCCCTGATTGTCTCTTTTTGCCTGTCCCCCTTGATGTTCAATGATCTTATCATCACTGAAACCACCGCCCGCCCCCCCCCCCCAACCAACTATCAACATCCTGGGGTTTCCCATTGAGCAGAAACTGACCCGGGACCCCCAGCCCCATATCAATCCCCTGGCTACAGGGAGCGGGTCAGAGGCTGGGAATCCTGCAGCGAGTAACTCCCGTCCTGACTCCTCGTCAAAGCCTGACCCACCGTCGAAAAGGCAGGAGGTGGGGGGGAGGGAACGCTCCCCACTTGCCAAGGATGGGGGCAGCTGCAACAACACTCGAGAAGTACGACAGCTTCGGGGGCAAAGCAACGCCCCCCTCCCCCAGCTCTATGGAGATGTCGAACCCCACCTTCAATAACCCCTCCCTCTGCCACCGAGTGTACCATCTTCAAGACCCTCTCGCCATGCCCCCCCCCCCCCCCGGTGTCTCTGAGCTTGCCCCCGGGGTCATTCCCGTGGGTACCTGGAGGTTGCGGAGTTTCCGGAAATGCAGACCCAGGGGCTGGTGGAAAATGATGGAAGGCCGATACGAGTCTTCACCCAGGTTCCACACAGAGACGTGCAGATCGAGGAGAGAGGCCGCGCCAACCAGCACCGCCCTCAACACGAAAGGGGGAGGGCACGGCGTTGGGATCGTTCCCCGGAGGGCGGAGGGGGGGAAGAAGGGTGGGAGCAAGGAGGGAGGCGGGCAGGGGGAGAGACGTTGAGTGAGGGAGGGGGAGAGGTGGAGATAGGGTCAGTGAGGCGGGGGGAGACAGGCAAGAAGAGAGACAGGGAGAGAGAAGGAGAGGGAGACGGGTGAGAGACGGAGAGGGAGAAAAGGGCAGGGAGATGTGTAAAGGGGACAGCCAGAGAGAGGGGCAGGGGACAACAGAGAGGTGGAGAGTGAGGGGAAGGGGAGAAAGTGAGAGAGAGGAGGAGAGAGGCAGCGAGAGAGATGGGGAGGGGGGAAAGGGGCACGGGAGAGGCGGAGAGAGAGAAGGGGAGAGAGCAGAAGTGTGAGATTGAGAGAAATAATTACTATTTCACACATTACTGCAAGCGGAGACAGTTTTCGTGTGGAAGAGCTAAATATGTGACTGAAGGGCCTGCTTCTGTGCTGTCTCATTCTTTATTCACACATACACGAGTCTCTCTACCTCAGTCTCATACACTCAGCCATTCCTCCTCCCCTCCCTCCCTCGCTCACACCCCTTCCTTCCAGTTGCACCTAACTCAGTCCCCACTCTTTGCCACCCTCAGGGCCCGTCCTCCTCCCACAACCCCTGCGCTGCCCCCTCCCCATCTCCCCCATCCTCACTGCCCCCTCCCCCTCTCCCCACTATCAGTCCCCTCCTCCTGTCTCTCTCTCTCTCTGTTCCTTTGCCTCTCACTCTCTCTATCCATCTCACTCTGCCTCCCTCTCTCTCTCTGTCCCTCACTCTTTCTGTCTCTCTCTCTCTCTCTTGCTCGCTCTCTCCGTCCTCTCTCTGTCCCTGTCTCCTTCGTACCTTCACCACCCTCCTTCTCTCAGTCTCTCTCTCTTCCCCGGGAGTACAGGGAGGGAGTGACTCACTTTTCGGTGTGGAAGGTTACGTTGAGGCGATCTGTGCATACATTATCTTCACCGCAGTTAATCTCAATGGGGATCTGTAACGGAATCAGAGAGGAGTCAGGCCGGACTGGGAAAACTCACACGGCGCTCCGAGTGCGTTCTAACTGCACCAGGAACGTGTAAAATCTCTCCATTTCCCATCTCTTCGCAGACTCTTACCATCTGGGATAGCATCCTGGTACCACGCTCATTCAAGATGGGTGTAAGGCCTGTCGAGGACCCATTGAACAATGCGGTAAGTGAGAAGTTGATGTGGACATCAGTAGGATTGAGGTAATCGTTCACGCAGGTCTAGGCAGAGAAAGAAGGAGAGACAGTAGGCCATTCAGTCTATCGAGTCTGCTCCAACATTCAATGAGCTTGCAGCTCATCTGATCATCCTCAACTCCACTCTCCTGCCTTTTCCCCCTTTTCCTGATTAAAAATCTCTCTCTCTCTCTCTCTCAGCCTTGAATATACTAAATGACCCAGCCCTCTGTGGTAAAGAATCCCACAGATTCGCTCCCCTCGGACGGAAGAAATTCCTCCTCATCTCCGTGTTCAATGAGCGACCCCTTTTTCTGAGATGATTCCATCCAGTCCTAGACTCTCCCACACAAGGGGGAGCAGCCTCACAACGTCTCCCCTGTCAAGTTGTCCCCTCCGCCCGAGAATCTTCAATCAGGTTGCCACTCATTCTTCTAAACCCCAATGATTACAGGCCCTGACCTACTCAACCTCTCCTCTGTAAGGCAGTCCCTCCATCCCTGGGATCAGCCGAGTGAAGCATCTCTGGTCTGCCTCCTATGCTGGTCTATCTCCTCTTGGATACGGGGCCCCAAAACTATTCACAGTTTACCAGCTTTGGTCTGACGAGTGCCTTATATCGTTTTAGGAAAAGTCTTCCTGCTTTTAGACTCCAATTTCTTTGAAAAGAAGGTCAGCGTCCCATTTGCCTTCCCAGCTCCACACTGACCTTGGACGCTCGTGTTTTCTGATTCATGCACCACGACTCCAAAATCCCTCTGTCCCGTAGCTTTCTGCAGTCTTTCTCCATTTAAATAATATTCGGCTCTTCTATTCTTCCTGCCAATGTGCAGGACCTCACATTTTCCCGCATTATATTCCACCTGCCACGTGCTTACCCTGTCTATATCCCTCTGCAGCCTCCGTGTGCTGTCCTCGTCCCTGGCCTTCCCTCCTGTTTGTGTGTCCTCTTCAAACTTGGCGATAGTACGTTCACTTCCCTCATCCAAGTCACTAATATCGATTGTAAATAATGGTGGCCCCAGCACCGATCCCTGCCGCTCTCTACGCTGTTCTCTTGTTCAAACAATATTCATGCATCTGTATAGACCTTCCATATTTGATCTACCTAACAAACTCCCCTCACACCGTGCTATTTATACCCAGTGAGGTGCAGCTCCACGATATCGTCGTAGTCCCACTGCAGGGTCCTAAAGTCCTAACAAGATGTAACCCTCTCACTCTCCTGTGTTTGTGCAGATTCTGTCTCTCTCTCACATGCACACTGTCGTGCTCGCACACACACACACACTCACACTCACTCACACACACACACAAACGCACACACACACTCACACTCACACACACAAAACACACACACACACTCGTACTCACTCACACATGCACACACACGTGCACACACTCACGCACAGACATTCACACAACACACAGACACACATACACAATCATACTCAGATACACACACACACTCACACACTCTCACACACATGCACACACAAACACACACGCGCACACACACACACACAAATAGACACACACTCATTCACATGCACGCATACACTCAAACACACACTCACTCGTGCACACACACACACATACTCACGCGTGCGCACATGCACACAAAAACGTGTGCACACACTCTCTCGCACACACACTCTCAAGTACAAGCACACTCTCTCCTGCGTGCACTCACACATGCAAACACACATACACACACGCTCACAGACAAACACACATACTACTACACACACACACTCATGCATGCGCGCACACACACACACCCACGCACACACACACTCAAACAGAGGCACACACATTCATGCGCACACACACACTCACACGTGCACACACATTTGCATACAGACACACACACTTTCCTGCATATGCACACACGCTCATTCACACACACACACACTCCTGCATGTGCACACACTTCCATGGACAAACACACTCACGTGTGCACATGCACACAAACTCCCATACATGCACACACACACTCCATTGTGCACACAAACACTGGCATGCGCGCGTGCACACTTGCGTGTGAACACATACTCACACAGAGCCACACACACTAACGTGTGCACACACTCTAACTCGCACATGCACACATACTCATAAAACACACTCGCACAAACACAAACACAAACACACACACTCCTGCATGCACACACTCCAGCTTGCGCACATGCACACATACACACGTACAAACACATTCACTCACAACCATAGGCACACACACTCACTCGTGCACATACTCACACACACACACACTCACTCGTGCACATACTCACTCACACACA